CATTTGTTGCATCCAGTGGGGACATAATTGCTGATTATAATGACTTATACTGTCTTTTTACACGTTGCGTTGCGTATCGCGCTGCGTAAACATAAAACCATGTCTGCATTTGTGATCGGAGAAACAACAAACAACAAGTCTACTCTACACTGCTCAAAACTCGCTGTTTGAATCGTCAGTGGCAAATTATTTAAATATAAAAAACGTACTTACAGGCTGTGAGTCAGAAGCGCCAGACTGCCCTTGCAAAGTTGGAACTGCCCAACTTTATAGAGGCAAAAACAGCCTTTGTACCACAGACGCATTGTAGGCTCCTGGTTCAGGAAACAGTCCTCATCCTCCATAAAATGCGCAGCACACATCTGAATATTTGGGTTGAACTGTTCTGGAACAGTGCTGTAAATACAACTTAACCACTGATTTCTAGTTGTGTCCTCTTTTGGAAGGCCAAATATAGTAGTTTCGCTTTCACAACGAAATACACAGCGACTCCACAACATGGCAGCGGCGGCAACAGCAAGAATTAAAGTTACGCCGTCTTTCTTTGCGTGAACATTTGGGCCCATTATGAAAATCTTCCCATATTGTGACGTAGACATGTGGGGGCGTGTTAGAACGAGCCATTTTAGGTAGGCGTTGTTGACTCTTAACTTTTATGAAGAATATCTCTTTGGATTTGAGACTTTAGTCTTTGCAACTTTACAGATCTTCTTTATGCACCAAGAGCTTGTAACACTTCAAAGAGAAAGGAACAATTTTAATCGCATCATATGACCCCTTTAAATGTCCAAATACTTGGGGGCTACATTTCTTTTATCTAAGTTACATTGTTAAGTGTTCCATGTGTCTTGCATATTTTCTAGGGTGAAAGAGGCTCTAACGGAGATAAAGGAGAAAAGGTAAGTGGCAGCACAAAATTGTGGACTGAAATATAAATAGAACCTCATTGTACAGAGTCAGTTCTATAATTTTAGTAATATAAATGGTATATTACATTTTGTATATATTAAAATATATTATAATATTATATGAGTTTGCACTTACATATACTGTATATATACTGTGTATATGCATGTCTGACCTGTAATACAAAATTTAACCTTTGTTTAAATCTTTGACTTGTCTAATCATAGCTGCTTTGAAATTATATGTGTTGTGGAAAGCGCTATACACATAAATGTGAATTGAATTTTAAGGGGATAGTAATAACAATTAATTTTGCCTTTGCCTTCATTACCAAGGGTTTTTGTGCACCACATCAATATGGAATCAAAGGTGAACCAGGACCACCAGGACCAATCGTAAGTGACCTATACAACTAAATATTTACTTACTAAATACATTTATCATAAATCAGTCAACTTTAACAGTTACATTCAGTAGGGTCCAAATTTCATACACCACTATCGAAAATGTGATTTTCTAATTTAATAACAGTTTATTTCCTTATAAACTATATTATCAGCATAACAAGTTGAGACAAAGGTTAATCCAAAGGTTAATCTGAAGAAAATTTTTATACTTTTAGGAATGCTGTAGTATTTGGCTTATCCCTATTTTAACTCCACACGTTTGCATAAAATCTGATGATCATCTTCATAGAGCATCTTGAACATCTGTAAAAAGAACCACATTATCAATGTCACTCATTTTCTTTGTGTACTATTTCAAGGTTAATATTCAATCTTAAATAACTGTATTCATTTAAGCCATAACGTGTCTTAAGCCATAAAATAACTGTATATCTTGTTTTGTATTAATAATGATTGTTGACCTATCTCATCATATGATAGTATTTTATATATTATGTGAAATCTGAGCTTCACTTTATGTTTTCAAAGGGGAAACCAGGGAAAGATGGACAGAATGGAGAAAAGGTGTGGTGATCTTGGACAATGACTTCAGATTTCATCAGCAATGTGGATACCTGTTAAATTCGATTGTAGTTAGTCATACTTTCTTATTTCAAATACTTAAATCACATTGATTTAGATTCTGTGATTGTCATAGGGGGATCGGGGCTCAGCTGGTACTCCTGGCTTTGATGGCTTTAAGGTAAGAAACCCCATCTTGAAGGGCCACGGTGTACCTCTAGACATAAAATGCATTGCTATACATTTTTATTTTTATTTATTTCTATTATGACGTTTGTTCATGTTAGGGTGACAGAGGAGACAGAGGACCACCAGGATATGTAAGTGGTTACACAACTCCATAAAAACTCAGATAATGCCTGCTATACTGAACGGAACCACACAATACGTCTGCACCTGATTCACTTAGAACAATGTTATGGATTGGTAGTTGCTTATCTTACAGGGTGGTGGTCGTCCTGGCCCTCTTGGTCCTCCTGGCCCCACTGGAGCACAAGGAGAGACAGGTGATGTCTACATAATGTCTTGTCAGTATCTGGTTGTCCTGTCAAATTCTGCAGTGTCTTTATCTGTTCATCTGTTTTCTTCATTCATCAGGTTATCCAGGAGAGCGTGGAGATCCTGGACCCCCAGGTAAGAACACACTCTGATAAAGTGTTAGGTAGAATTAGGTCAGCATTATATAGTAGTTTACAATAATGATCCTTTCCTTCATGATCATGGTTTACTGCAGGCAGGTATATTCCTGGTCCTCCTGGATCTCCTGGCTTCCCTGGAGAGATTGGCCATAAGGGAGATAAAGGAGCTGATGGACTGTCTCTTGAAGGTTCAAGAGGAACTGATGGACAACCTGGCCCCCCTGGACCACCAGGACCGATCAGTAAGAACATCTTAAACACAAAACAACCTCATGGAGAGAATGGAGTGACCATATCATTGTAGAAAGAGTCTTTGACATGCACATTGGTTAAAGTCTGTTAGTGATGAGACACAATGTATAACGATTCTTGTGTGGTTCCTTTGATTGCCCATTCCAAAGTATCATTGGCATTGTTACTTTTATTTTAGATGAAGAATGTAATATCGAAAAAGGAGCTCAAGGCCGACCTGGACCTCCTGGGTTGCAAGGAGAAATAGGACAGAAAGGTAAGGAGGTCATTCAATTATCCATTTGTTTACTGTAGTTTTGGTTTCATCAAAATTGGTTCTGAGTTGTTTGGCTCTTTCAGGTGATCAAGGTGAAACATGCACAGCGTGCACTGCTTTTGGGCTACCAGGTTTGCCTGGTGCTCCAGGGCCAAAGGGTCAGAAAGGTGAGAAGAAATGAGCAAGGCTTTGTTTTGGTATGTTTGTTCTTTATGAGATTATGCATCACCCTGGATGTTTTCATTTTAGGTTTTCCTGGACTAGAGGGGACTAAAGGAGAGAAGGGTGTGACAGGACCTCCTGGGCCTCTTGGAATTACTGTATGTATATTTTCCTAATTTAACATTTATTACTTAGTATGTTTTTTGTGGCACCAAAAATCCCTGGATACAAATGCATCAGTAGTGCACTGTACCCACCATAAATGTGGATGTAAACACTGGACTCCTGTCAATATAAATTTTACCTTTCGTCTTGCTTTTCCTTGAACTCTAGGGCCAAGATGGCTCTCCGGGATTAATGGGTGCCCCTGGCGCTCACGGTGAGCCTGGTGATGTCTTTGTGGCTCCAGGGCTGAAAGGAGATAAGGGTTTACCTGGTACTACTGGAGACAGAGGATTCGCTGGTGTTGATGGGCTCCCAGGAAAAGATGGTTGGCCAGGGCAACCTGGACCCAAGGGAGAGCCTGTAAGTACAAAGTCTGAGAGATCTGACTAAACAGGCTTGACAAATAGCTGAATCCACTTTTGCATCTAATTTACAGTGTATCTGAATCCCACTGTCTATATTGCAATGTTTTCTTAATCATGGAATATCTGTTAATTTAATTCATAAATCTTGTTTCTGTAATTAGGCTAGATTTGGTATTAAGGGAGATCGTGGCCTGGATGGAGATCATGGTCTACCCGGCCCTCTGGGTGAGAGAGGTCCCCCAGGTCTTCCAGGCATAGGTCGGCCAGGTGAACCTGGTGAAAAAGGCTCAGCAGGTTTGACTGGTGCACCAGGAAGGCCAGGATTACCAGGTCAGTGATTTAGAGTAAAAATGTGCTTATCCACTGGTTGTCATTGTTCTGTTCTTTAAAATAATCACAATCTCAAATATCTTTGTAGGAGCCAAAGGTGAAGTTGGTAAAAATATAAGTTTACCTGGACCTCAGGGTGCCGAAGGACCTCGTGGAGAGACTGGCAGACCTGGTCTTCAAGGTAAATTCAGGTTATGCTAATGTGTCATCCTGCTTGAAAACTGGACTCAATGCTCTGATACAAAGCTGGTTGTGTTGACGTCTCTTTCACTTTATCACTCAGGTGACAGGGGTCTTCCAGGTGAACATGGAGTTCAAGGATTCCCAGGAGACAAAGGTGACCCTGGACTGCCGAGAATTGGCCTTCCTGGGCCCCCAGGGCCAAAAGGCAAGTACCATATATAGTGTCCATAAGTGTCAAATTTTGTTTAAAGGTGAAATGCGCATGTTTAAATATTAAACCTCAAAGTTCATCATTTGATAAAAAAAAGCTATAGTGGCAAAGATTATAGGTTTCTATGAATTCACTTAGTCTTTAGCCTTGCTGACGGTAGTAATAATTACTTTCGCGTAAATGGGTGTCAAATTATGTGTCAACTATCTAATCTAGACTGTAACACCTTTCTAAATATCCATCATTTCCACTTTTAGGATACTCTGGGATTCCAGGTCCTGCTGGGATTCCAGGAGAGCCTGGTCGAACAGGTCAGGATGGCTTGCCGGGTCGTGCAGGGACATCTGGGCAAAAAGTATGATGGTGGATGTCATTTAGACTTTTTAATGTATTATAGTTATAAAGAAATGGGTCACTTTTTTCATTGACCCTAAACTTTATCATATATAGGGTGAACCTGGCAGGGGTCTTCCTGGTCCTAAAGGTGCCATAGGTCAGACAGGAGTGCCAGGATTTCCAGGGGAGAAGGGTAATTCTGGAATGCCAGGGGTTCCTGGAACTGAGGGACTTACTGGGCAACCTGGACTACAGGGAATCAAAGGTACATTTACTGTGTCGGTTTCTCATAATAAATTTGAATAGATTATTTACCAGATGTTCAGAATGTACTTTCTTTAAAACTGACTAAGGAATATTTAGCAGACAATTTTGTTCATTGTAGTTGAGTTCAGAAGTTGAGAACAAAAGAGTGAAAACATCTGAGCATTTGGAAAACATCCCGATGGTTTCACCGATGCATTTTGTTGTGGCTTTATGAAACTTAACTTTCTAGGGATACTCTTGGTGAATTTAAATAAGAACAAGAACTAAGGAAGGTGTCCCTGGGTTCTAGTCTCATTTCAGGCAAAATAACAACCAGCTTGATCTTCTCCTGGGAAAAGTTGGCCATAAAAATATTGGCAATTACACTTTTTTTTTTTTTTTTTAAGGAAAGCATACCAACCAAACATTGGATGACACTGATGATTTTTAAAATCATCCAGTCATTGCAGATAATGCAAACTTTCTGATTAACTTTCACTGTGCTTTGAAAGGCTGATGAACAGGCTTGAGGACAAACAAGTTTGGCAAATATGTGAAAGGTCCTCTTATGACACTTTTCCACTGCATGGTATGGCTCGGCTCGGTTTGCATTTCCACTGCAGTTTAGTACTGCTTTATAGTGGGCGTATGGAGCGAATTTTGTGGCACTATTCATCAAACAAACCCAGAATTTTGCAAATAAACACAATTTGCTTTGCGAAGAAAAACTTGACTTTCAAACAAACGCAAAGTGATTTGCAAATACAAAACTATTTGAGAGAAAATGCATAGGTATGGACAAATATATGTATTGTATGTTACAACTGTGAGACTCATTTGCCTTTTTATGAGGAAACTTGGCTTGATTTTCTCACATGCAATTGAGCAACTTTCTATTCCAAAAACAGCAGATGGCGGTGTCGGTCAATTTACGCTAGTCTCCTGAGACCCGAAACACCTGTTTACCTTTTCAGACCAATATGAGTGGGGAACAGGTGAGTTTCTGTCTTACTATATCTATAATTAACCATATAGATGTTTTAACAAATCGACCCTACTACAATGTCAGTGAAATTCACAATAAGTGCTGTAAAGTTGTTAACATGTTCAAAAATCAGTAGAGACATGGCTAAACATTTAACTAGGCAGTCTTTCCCTATAAAAACTGATACATTCTCTGTACCTCTTATCCTCTTATACAGTTGTTCAACATTCAAAACAATGCAGGGGTATAACAATATATTGTAATACTAAAATGCAAATGTGTTGTGGATAGTGTCAACTGTACCAAAAATGAAAGCATTTTGAATTTTACTGCCCGGGGAGCAGTTGGGGGTTCGGTGCTTTGCTCAAGAGCACCTCAGTTTTGTCAAGTAAGATTTATTGTAATTCTGCTATATATGTTGAGACTTAGCCTGCAGTGGAGAGAAATGTTATAGGATACCCCTGCAGTAAAATTTTAAACAAGTATATAACTACACATAGACAACCTACTGAAAGGAGTATGCTAATATGCAAATAGGCTACTGTAATCAAACTAGTTTAAGTTCAGGTGAGCTTTATTGTGATTCAGCTATATAAATGTACCAAAATATAATCTAAACATTAATATCCCTTATAAAAATTAACCATGGTTTTACTAAATAAATACCATGGTATTTGTATCAAAGCTGTCGTTTTAGAAATGGTCACCTGCAAAAAAAACATGGTTACCACACTTTTACTATATAGTAAAACCAACTTAAATTTTCGTAAGGGATATCATAGTTTATCATATTTATGTTTATATATAGCATTATATGCATTGTACAACATTTAAAACTAAAAGTGGCCTGTAAGGAGATTTTAGTCTAGCAATACCCTGTTTGGAAAAATCCAATTGAAAATATGTAGCTTTTTATATATGGCCGAGCAACATTTTAACTCATGAAGTTAAGAAAAAAAGGCTACTGTCAGGAATTATATTAGTGGCTCTTCAAAATGCAAATGTTCGTCATCTGAGTCACTCCGAGAAGAGTCCTCGCTGTCCAGAGTGTGTCTTCACCCGTGTAGCGCGCCATCATCCAACGTGCAGAAAAAGAAAGTAGGCTAAATTCTATGATGAAGCTTGACGTTTTGATGCCATTTTTCGGGGGCATCATGTTTACCTGGCTGACCTCCGATCATTAACATATGTGAACAGAGCGCATCACATTAGCGATAATGAGGTGAGACAGGAGAATCTTAACCTCTCCTTACTTTCATATGGATTATATAATCAGATTATATATTTTTTTTCAATGTTTTCATTTGTTTTCTGTTTTTTTTAAAGTAGACATTTCAAGCTTTCTATACATATATGTATCATGTTTGTGAGGCACATATTCGTTGAGATTCAGGTTGTTTTATTCATGTGCCTGTGAAGAAAGTTCCCGGAGACCGAGACGGCAGAGAGCGCACCCTGTTTGTTTTCTTTATTTTACAAAAGCACATTGTTTTGTGGTTATTATGACTATACACAAATACAAGTAGATCCTTTGCAGTTTCAAACGATGCCATACTCGTATCTGTATTTTTTATCATTTTCGTGGTCATCAAGAAAACGTGACAAAATGCGCCGGTGCGGTCATCGACCACAAAGATTATTTTCTAATCATTGCATTGTTAAAATCATTCTGAAATACTGGTTAACCACTGTTTGTTAAAATCATTCTGAAATACTGGTAAACCACTGTTTGTTAAAATGCTGAATTTAGTATTATATCAGCGTGAACTTGATCCTTCTCCCCAATTCACATGACAAGAGTGACACCAGAAGAGAAATATTCATAATTTTGCTTTGCTAAAAAATACATAATTATTTTAGACACAAATGATTGCACAGTGTTACAACATTTAAAAAGTTTTAGATATTGTACTAAATAATGTGATTTGTTTTCAATTTTTTATTAATAATGAATGACCTCTTGGGTGAAATTACTATATCTGATACTAAATTAAATTGTCTAAGCTTTCATTTTTGGTACACAATATTGTCGCTCTCCATAATACATTTGCATTTTAGAATTACAATATATTTTGACATGATAATTGTTATACCCCTGCATTGTTTTGAATGTTGAACAATTGTATCAACATAGGTATATATTCTATATCCCACGATCCAACAGAGGATTAGAGGTACGGTGACTGGATCAGTTTTTATAGGGAAAGACTGCCTAGTTAAATGTTTAGACATGTCACTACTGATTTTTGAACTAATCAATCATGTTAACAACTTTACAGCGCTTATTGTGAATCTCACTGACACTGTAGTAGGGTCACTTTGTGAAAGCATCTAAATGGTTAATTATAGATCAAGTAAGACAGAAACTCACCTGTTCCCCACTCATGTTGGTCTGCTGTATTCCCCGAAAAGGTAAACAGGTGTTTCGGGTCTCAGGAGACTAGCGTAAATTGACCGACACCGCCATCTGCTGTTTTTGGAAAAGAAAGTTGCTCAATTGCATTTGTGAGAAAATCTGCCTGCATGCATTTGTGAGAAAATCTGCCTGCACGCATTTGTGAGAAAATCAAGCCACGTTTCCTCATAAAAAGGCAAATGAGTCTCACAGTTGTAACACACAATATATATGTAGCCTACTGTATAGGACATGATCCATGCCAAACATGATGTTAGTGTTTTTAAGCTGGCAAGGCATGCAGAGTTTCTCGCAATGATTGTGGGGCGTTGAAAGGCAGGTAGAACAGTATGTTTTTTTTTTTATATAGATTTGTCTGTGAGGTAGGATTCAACCAATGAGGTGCAGATTCTATGATGGCCAGTTCAGACTGGAGGATCTATTCTTTTAAGGAAGGTGTCATATCTATGAAGGTAAACTGATGCCTAAATGATTCGCATGCGCAGGGTAAGATTTGTGAAAGTGTATATAAAATAGCAAGCGTAAATTAATTTTGCATGGGGAAGAAAAGATCTGTAAATGTGTAAATCGTGTTTCAAGTGTAAGAATAAAAGATTTGCAGCGTTTTACTGTTTTTTCTAAGTGTAATTCATGTATTGTGAAACTGCAGCTTCATGCTAATGTGAAATAAATATGATCTGCATTCTTCTGACTTCCATTTTTTTTCGCCAAACTATACGGCCAAAAGCATTGCAAGCCTGTGAACAGCATTTTGCAAGCAAAAACAACCATATCAAGAACTGCAAAGCGGATTGACCGCATAAGTCCGCATAAATAAATCCTGATTTCAGATTTGCACGCTTGAGTGAAAGGCGGGATTACCTTCTTCTTGCAGCCAATCAAATAAGGCTCTCACTGACTCTCGAGTTACTCTCATCTGATTGGTTCAATAAACACTCCAGATGTGAGAACACATCTTTATCTTCATTCGAGGCATGTACATTTAGCAATCAGAAACCTCTTTTTTTTTCTGTGGTACTGAATGAATCAGAAACGTATATGGCTTCTTTTAAGGACAGCACAAACAACTGTTAAAACTGCTTATTTATTTAATACATTTAATGTGACATTAGGCTGACTTCCATGTGCTCATATACTGATTTTCATGCTAGAGTGAACGTTATTGGATTGGTTTGACATTGCATTGAAATGGTATATATTATATAATCTGCTTACACTACTGAACTGATGTTAACTTTACAATCAAACCGTTTAATAGCGCTCTGTCTCCAGATTTGAGCGTAATGCAAAACCAAATGCAAAGAAACTAATTATGTCTGAATTAAAAAAAATATGATTGCTTGTTAGGGAAATCTGACAAGCAACTTCGTTTCTTTATTTATGTTCACCGTATTCTCCAATGCATTGAAAGTGAAGTGACATGTGGCCAAGTATGATGACCCATACTCAGAATTAGTGCTCTGCATTTATCCCATCCAAAGTGCACTCACAGCAGTGGGCAGCCATTTTTTTTGTTGCGGCGCCCGGGGAGCAGTTGGGGGTTCGGTGCTTTGCTCAAGAGCACCTCAGTTTTGTATTGAGGGTGGGAGAGAGCACTGTACATTCACTCCACCCACCTACAATCCCTCCGAGACTCGAACCCGCAACCTTTGGGTTACAAGTCTGACTCTCTAACCATTAGGCCATGACTTCCCTTGTTTTTTGTTACTTGTTTTTTATTACAGCCCGTGATAATTAATACATTACAAAAACATTGTAAAAATTAAAAATTAGGCTAAAAGAAAGTTATCCCACTCCTCTACGTCTACTTCTATAATCGCTTGGATTACAGCGTCACGTGCCTTGTTTTTGAACATGATTTTTCTCCAGTGAGGGGGAGAAACATTTGGCAAATTATGCTGCAGCACTTATATTATTGCACTGGTTGGCTATTAACTGTGAGTGTCAATCAAGGGGAAGTTGTGGCCTAATGGTTAGAGAGTCGGACTCGTAACACAAAGGTTGCGGGTTCGAGTCTCGTACCAACAGGGAATGCAGAGCACTAATTCTGAGTATGGGTCACCCTATTTGGCCACATGTCACATCACTTTCACAAGTAGTCCTATACTAAGAGTATATACATTTGGTTCGAGTAGGCTATAATAAATATGTGGCTATTAGGGCTGCACAATTAATCGAATTTCTAATTGCGATTACAATTATGGATGCCACAATTACGTAATTGTTCAAAGAGGCAATTAATCGTTCAAAGTCCACTTCTGTTATTCTGCACGCTTAAGATATGTTTTTTTCTTTCTGCATGTTATCATAAGGGTTTTTCCATTGTTTTAGTTTTAGTATAACATTATAATACCATTCATATTTTTACTTTTTTTATAATTTAAAGAAGAAACCAATCCATTTGAGGCTTAATATTATAGAAAAGCACTAAAGGTTTTCGTAATGAATAATCGCAATTACAATTTCAAGGGAAGAATCGACAATTATGATTTTTGTCATAATCGTGCAGCCCTAGTGGCTATGTTACAGCTCCCCTTTGAAACTCTTGTGTTTTTCTCCTTTTCGATCCTATTCTGCTCACAGGTGATTGGAGATGAGTTTTGTTCCCACTTTGTTGCAGATTGCTGATTTTTGTAAAATAACTTCTGTTTTTGCTTTTCAGATAAAAGCGTGGTTTCAGTTTAATATGTTGCAGGCTCATTTATTGGTAATAAATAATTGATGATAAATAATATTGATGATAATAAATCATCAAAAAATATTGGGCTTGTTTTTGAAGCTGCGGTTGCTTATTTATCTTGCGAGAGTTGGCAACAGTGCGCAGAAGTACATATCGGGTTATTTGGGGAACTTTTTGCCCTAAGCACACAAGAAATCATTTAGATATTTGCAACAGTTTATTTTTTACACACACAGATTGGTTTTACATGGTCAATCTGTTCTGCAGTTCTTGATACGGTTGTTTTTGCTTGCAAAACGCTGTTCACATGCTTACAATGCTTTTGGCTGTACTTTGGCGAAAAAAGTAATTTATTTTGCATTAGCATGAAGCTGCAGTTTCACAATACACAAATTACACTTACAAAAAAACAGTAAAACGCTGCAAATACTTTTTTTCTTACACTTGAAACACGATTTACACTTTCACAAATCTTACCCTGCGCATGCAGATCTTTTAGGCATTATTTTACCTTCATAGGTGTCAGACAATGATTTCAGTGCCTCAAGTGTTTTCACCTCAAACAGGAAGAGATTGTTGGAGAAATGGTTTGCAAGAAATCGAAGGGGATGGGTTCAGATGGTATAAGAACATTAAATTAATTTAGATTTTTGCAGGTAACCCTGGGCCACCTGGAGCTCGTGGTGCGGTGGGGCCGCCAGGTACTCTAGGGCTTGGAGAACCTGGACCACCTGGACCAATGGGGCCACCTGGAGGCCCTGGACCCCTTGGTGAGTTTTTCAATTGATTAGCACCAACAAAGGTGTATGCACACACACATGCCTAGATGTTCACATCTCACATGATATGTAACAAGTCTTGATGATGTCCTAGGTCAGATCGGTATAAAGGGTGAGAAAGGTTATCAAGGCCAACCTGGTTTAGTCATGCCTGGAGCTCCAGGAGACAGGGGTAGCCCTGGTGTACATTTGCATTTGTGTTTATGTTTTTGAAAAATGGGTCTGCTGGGTATAATTTCCTGTATTATATACCTGCATGTTGGTTACATCACATGCCTTCTGAATAAATATAAGTAATAGTTTTCAAATATTATTAATCATTGAGGCAGTTTTGTTATAATTAATAAACTCTGGTACTGTTGCTTGTCGTTTGATCACTTTTTAGTGAACATTTTGTGGTTCTTTAGGTTCAATGGGGCCAAAAGGTATTAAAGGTGTTGGTGGGTCACTGGGTCACCCTGGATCTAAGGGTGTTGATGGCACCAAAGGAGATAAAGGAGATCCTGGTGCAGCAGGAATAGGAATCCCCGGTCCCCCTGGAGTGAAAGTTTGTGTTGTTGTATTAGTATTGTATTGTATTGTATATTAGTATTGTTGATTGTATTATCCTTGGTCTCATCTCATACTTACAGGGAAATGTTGGCACCCCTGGTTTCCCTGGTGAACCTGGACATAGGGGACAGAAGGGTACAATGGGCATCCCAGGAAGCCCTGGAATTCAAGGACTTAAAGGAGACACAGGATTGATTGGTTACCAAGGCCAGATGATTACAATGACTAATGCAAATTACACTGAAATACACTGTTTTAACAGCCAGTGTTATGAACACATCAAGGCACTAATACAATAATTTTTTATTATAATACATTGTACCAATCATATTATTTTCTGAGCAGGCAGTCCAGGGAAACCAGGTGAGAAAGGTGTCAGCGGGTTGCCGGGGTCTACAGGAGAACCTGGGTTTCAAGGACGTCCAGGTAAGTCAAACTAAATTTCCCCTTGAGATTTGTTTAAGGCACCCGTAATGTTTCTAGACACACTGAAAAAGTTTCTTTACTTTAGAAAACTTCTGAGAAACACAAAACAAGTGTGCATGAAGGAAGTTAATTTAAAGCAAGCTTCAAATGGGCTGCATACATTTAGTGGTGAAAATTCCTAATGATTTTATTATTATAATTTTTTTGACTAGGTGAGCCTGGTCTACAGGGTCCACCAGGTCTGCCTGGGGAGAAAGGAAAACCAGGGGTAGATGGCATTCCTGGATTTATTGGAGCGAGAGGAGAACCTGGTAAAATTATGTAGCTAAGATTATCAGTAAGATTATGTATTAATGCTGCTAATTTAAAGTGCTTTAGAAACTCTTTTTGGGACAGTGGGTCTCTAGTTCAGTAATGATTGCATTGTCAGGGGTAGTTTCTTCATTAGGACGATAGGGTGCTGCACCACCAGTGCAAAAGGGAGGAATTTTTTTCTGTCACATTCAACCGGCTGTCACTGTTCTAATATAGACTTTATGTTTGTTTTGCCTCTGGATACATAGTCCAATCAGCATCAAGTCACATTCTGTGGAGTACCGCCCCTTTTTGGGCGATTTCACTATGGCCAAGAATCGCCCAGACTGTTCTCATAGACTTCCATACAAAGACTTTTTTTTCGAACTGCAGGCACTGCAATGCAATCTCTATGAGTTCCGTGAGGGCGAGCACTAACGTGCTTTCATCATCATATGTAACCTTAACTTGTGCAGTGATTGCTGGGAACAAACTCTATAAATAAGAAATATGAAGTCAGGACTAGTCTGTATGGGCTGAATAAAGCAAATCAGTATCTCACCAGTACAGTATAGATGGATGACGATTGTAATTGAGGTAAAGATAATTATGGTGACATACAGCAATCATACACTATTAGACGCGCAAGTCCATTATTATTAATGTGCAAACAAAAAGAATGCATGTGCTCTCTCTGATAGCTTTTTCCATAAGCACATTTCAGTATGGTCACATATCTGGAAAGTGTTTCAAAATGGACACTCACTGAAAAAGTGTGTTTTTATAGGAGTTTGCATTGGTCAGTGGTGTTTATGTAGACACTAAAACACAGACACGAACACTCCCTCTTACAGAGGAACTGTTCACTGGTGATGTCGAGCCTCCTTCAGATCGGCACATTCGACAAATTCAGGATGTTTTTATTTACTTTTTTAATTTGTGTTTTGCTCTGTTTAATAATTCTGAATGGATCCGTATATATCTATATACAGTCAGTTTATGGCAACTGGTATAATTTTAATTTTTTTGTATTGCAGCTTGACTTGTAGTTATTTATATATGCATTAAAAAATGCTCTAAACAAATGTTGCATTTATTTTTCCTAACCGTTTTTGCTGTTGCACCGTATACATAAATTGTGAATTATAAAAATTAAATAATGTTTTAATTTATGTTAAAAAAAAGCTTGCAGAAAATCATCCTCAATCTTGAACTTGGTAAAGCAATTATCTTTATTTAAAATGTTTCAAGTCGTAATACTTTTCCTTTTGTTATACTGGGAGAAATCATACCGGGATGTATGCTAAAATTGTTGATTTTCACTAGCATAGATGATTTGTTTTTATATGCACAGCAGAACATCTCATTAAAAATGTGCGTGCGCACATGTGTTACGGGGCTGACAAGACGTGAGACGTACGGATCCATGTGCAAGCTTTATTCACAGGCGTGGTCAGAAACAGGCAAGGGTCAGACAATGGCAACAGGTATATAGAGGGCAAGACACAAGAATATACCTAGGGCTAGTGTGGGTCTACGATCGGCGAACAGAATCAAAAGGGCGAGACTAGAGGGATAAATCCAGGAACACAGGCAAAGGTCCAGGCATGGGCAAACAGAGTCCAAACGGGAAAACGACAGGGCAATCCAAAAACAAAGGCAGCAATATATACACGGGAAAACAGGCAAGGCAAGGCAAGACTAGACTAAACTAAACTAGGAACTATGAAAAAGACAAAGCTAAGACAATAAACAGGCTCCGTATAGTAGCTAACACTTGGAGAGTGAAAAACGCTAGACAATACTCGGCAGTGAGAGAGAGGAAGTCCATGGCTTATGTAGCATGTCTGATTGGATTCAGCTGTGTGTGTGTGTTTGATCAGTGCATTCAGCTGTGTGCTAATCAGTGCAATGGTTGATGGGAAATGCAGTCCAGGGTGATGTGTAACAGTCTGTGTGGTGTGAGAGTCAATGTAATGGGAGAAGGGTGACCTCTGATGGTAAGCAGACGGAAGTTCATGGACCGGATTTGTGACAACATGAATTAGTTCTTAACTTTGTTATAACGTTAATGAATTCATAGTATTCTAAATCAGGGAACTACGTGATTTTTTCCCCTCTTTTGTAAGTCGCTTTGGATAAAACCGTCTGCCACATGCAAAACTGTAAAGGTTGATAATTGGCATAAAACACGCCCAAACCATATCCATAAAAGGACTTTCCGCACAACCTTTCATCACAGCAAACCTATGACGGTCTCTAAGGACGTGCTCTCGTCTAAGAGTGTGTAGAGTAAGATCCTCGATCAATGCAAAGTGTGCCATCCTCAAATCTAGTGTAAACACCTATACAGACCTAGATTACAGTTAATGAACCTCTCATTAGCCAGTTGTATCTGCATTTTTCTACACTTTCATATATGTTTAAGATGAAATGCCTTTGTATAAAATTTGAGCTTTATATGTTTATATGGCCAGAATATGTCTTTTTTGCATATGTGTGGTTTCAGTTCTTCCTACATTTCATACATTTTGAATGCATTTTAGTACACAAGTAACTGATGCATCATGATTTGTTCGTGAAAATATTTGTATGCCATTTTCATGCACAAATTTGTGCTTACACACTGTTAGTGAGACCCAATGACCTAAAGACAAACAAGTATTTATCTTCTTCAGGTATACCTGGCATAGGATTGACAGGAGCCCACGGAGAACCTGGCAGCAAAGGTCAGAATCGCATATCCCCAATAATTAGGTTGTCATTTATGGAGCACTGGGAGGTCTACTTAAAATGAATACATTTGAAGTTAATTATTTTCGATGTATAATTTAAGGATAGTTTAGTGAAAAGTAACTAAATTAAATGAATACTTCTCCTCATCTCCACACAGGTGACACAGGCAACCCTGGTCTTCCTGGCATTCCCGGCAGTCCAGGTATTCCTGGAACCAAAGGTGAGAAGGGTCTGCCAGGACTCCAAGGGGGCCAAGGATGGCCTGGAGAGAGAGGACTTCCAGGAGCATCCATGGATGGGCCTAAAGGAGACAGGGGAGCTCAGGGACAGCTGGGAGAAAAAGGTGAATCCTTAACACCTCACTATTCAGGACATTCTGTCACAGAATATTCCTCTTATTAGTAGTCTAACAATTTAAGGGTGTCATTATGGTTATAAAATGCAGTTGTCCCTCATGTTAGCCAAAGAACGGTGTGTGAACTGTATTTGATACTCTAAAACAGGACTGACAGATGTGTTCTGCTGAATGTGGCCTGCGTCATCTTACACCCACATCACATTTTTACCACAGGTGCGACTGGTGATCCAGGCCCAGCTGGCACACCAGGCAGTGCTGGAGCTAAAGGAGAAAATGGAGATGTGGGCTTCCCTGGCCCACAAGGCTCTCAAGGGTATAGAGGAGACAAAGGTTTCACTGGTGCTCCTGTGAGTTTAAGGCTTCGTCTTCTAAAATAAAAATAGTGCCTTTAAAAATGATAGTAGATCATTTAATACAGCTGTGCTCTGTAGGGTGAGCCTGGGTTGCCTGGTTATAATGGACCAAAGGGTGAGACGGGACCACAGGGTGTTCCTGGTTTCCCTGGTAAGATTAAAGATGAAATTTAACTTGACAGAATATTGCAGTGCATTTTTGTGTGTTTCTGAATGTCATCCTTCATATTTATAAAAGGCAATGCTCGATAGAGATGGTAGATTGAGTGGCTCTCTGTCATTCCAGGTATAAAGGGTGAGAGAGGAGTGATCGGTTCGAGGGGTGACGGAGGTGACAGAGGATTCCCAGGTCTCAAAGGTATGAACAAAAACTTCAACTTCCATTGAATTATATTATTAGTGTCCATCCACATTTATTCAAATAAACATTTAAATTTGTATAGCTAACATCATATTGGTAGTAGAATTTAAACGTATTGCTTTATGTTTTAGATTATTGTACATAATAATAATAATAATAATAATAATAATTGTATTATTTTTTATTATCATTATTATTGAATAATATAACAATGTAAAATATGACATAATTTAATGTTAATGTTGTACAGTTTTGAATATACAGTAATCATTATTGGAATAAAATATAGTGAAATATTTTATAATAAAAAGATAAATATTTCACAGCTTTTTACTTTGAATCTGTAATTTCAATGTGAAATAAATTGTCTAAAATATATAGACGAAGAATTACACATCAGCAACAAAATTACAAACAAAATAACAAAATATATTTATACACACACAAAGTATCAGATCACATTTTGTGTGTCCACCAAACTGCTTCTTGAAATCCTTATTTGAGCTTGAATGTGTGGTGAAACGTCTTTACTATAATAAATGGGCAGTTCAGGTCTGAATGCTCTATACTTCATTGTAAACATTTTATTAAATTTCTGCTTTTAACATTTTAATTTAAGGTAGCGAAGGCCCTCCTGGACCCCCTGGGCCACACACATTTATAAAGGGAGATCCTGGTCTTCCAGGACCTCAGGGTCCCACAGGTCTAGTTGGATTCCAAGGCATCCCTGGACAGAAAGGACAACAGGGTGAGTGTTTCAAATATCTGAACTTACAAGTTTAGGAAAACAGTCAGTTGACATATCTTAATGCACAACCACACTCCTAGGTATGATGGGAACTCAGGGTATAAAAGGATCCGATGGAACACCTGGCTATAATGGACATCCTGGTGCCAAAGGAGAGTCTGGACAAACTGGACCCTCTGGTAGGTGCACAGACACATAACATATTAAGAGATCCAAGACAGAAGAAAAGTTCTGCAAATTTCATCAGAACTGAAATGACTTTCATTCACAAGATTGCTTATGCTTGCTGATCCCTATTTTATTTCCTAAAACATCTTTTCTGTAGGCCCCAGAGGGTACTCTGGACCTCAAGGGCCTAGTGGTCTCCCAGGTCGCATCGGCCCTCCTGGCCCTTCCTCAATGGACCACGGCTTCCTTGTAACCCGCCACAGTCAGACTGTTGATGTTCCATTATGTCCAGAGGGAACAACGCCAATCTATGATGGATATTCGCTGCTTTATGTCCAGGGGAACGAGAGGTCACATGGACAAGACCTAGGTTTGCACAGCAGCCACACTGATCATGCATTTATTATGAAATATTAATCAAAGTCACACAATCCCTGACGTTCTGCTCTCTTTACCCAATAGGTACAGCTGGTAGCTATTAAAATGGTTTGAGTTGGTTCTTGTAAAGAGTATAAATAAATAGTATTTATACTGTATTAAAAAGTCATTTTTCAGTGTTTTTTTTTAAACATTCACCCTAACCCTAACAGACACCCTAATCATTCTTGATTTCCCCCCCAAATATATCTACATATTAAAAAAATCCTGTATTATCATCGTGCAACCCTAATTTTTTCTTTAATATTACTGTGAAATCGGTTCCAAACTAAAGTACAGGATGTTCAGCCCTGTCAACCAGTACACTAAGGTCATTACTATATCCCCAATTATTGATCCTTGATTCTGATTGGTTGAGCCTCGTTCGAAGCTGTTGTAAATTACTCTACAAACATACACCTTTGTTTACTTTGTTTGTTGCTTGGCATTGTTTGGTGGAAGAATAATGTTTTTATTAATATCATTACACTTTATTTGCTCTGTTTTATTTTGTGAAACCTAACTACATATATGGAATAACCGTTTTATAAAAGCAATAAGCCCTGTGAAGCCGTGGTTTACAGTGAATTTATAACAGCTAAGGAGGTTGTTAGTGAGGTTGTTATCAACGCCCCTTAGCTGTTATAAATTCACTGTAAACCACGGCTTCTTTGGGCTTATTTCTTTAATAAACACTGACAAGAACAAATATGTCTGCTTTCATCATTTTCAATGAGGATTACTGTATATGAGAATGTGAACTTGTGACTAGTGTGTAAAGGTCTTACGCAGTCTCTCTGTGTAACAGCACACCAGTGCTGGTGCTGAGGGCTCCGGTCAGGCTCTGGCCTCTCCGGGTTCTTGTCTGGAAGAGTTCCGCTCGGCTCCCTTCATCGAGTGTCACGGTCGCGGCACCTGCAACTATTATGCTAATTCCTACAGCTTCTGGTTAGCCACCATAGAGGACAGCGAAATGTTCAAGTAAGCTTTCACACACTTTATATTCTTGAGTATATATCAGCTGTTGAGCTCGCCTTTTAGGTTCTTACTATTTTTATGGATGCACTATTGTTTCTTCAGTTTAACACAGAATATATCATGTACTAAAGCTGATTTGTTTATTTGAAATGTTTAAGCTATAAATGTTACACTCATGCCCCTGGTTTCACAGACAAGGCTTAAGCCTAATGCCAGACTGAAATCTAAGTCTGAGCTGTTTCAACTGAAAGAAACTTGCTCTGACTGATCTTAAAATATATCAGTGCCTTTATTTTGTCTTAAAAATACACACCAGTAATGTTTTTTAAGGCACGTTTATCAAAAATTACTTAAATGTCCTAATTGAACTATGGCCTAATACTGGCTTAGTCTAAGCCCTGTCTGTGAAACCAGGCCATGGAGTACTTCAAAGCTACAGTACTCCTCTCTCTTACCACAAGAAGGCACAATAATTTCTTGGTGATTTAGGAGCATTTTTGTATTTATTGTATTTATGTCTCACTATGGTATGAAGCATTAATAAATCATCCTACTTAATGTAACCAATAACCAGGTCAATTTAAAAAGATTTGAATAATAACAATAACAAAAAAGTAATATGATATTAAAATATTGGTCCAGAAAATAATTACTTTTATGTTACGTGTATCTTTTTAATTTATATTACTTAGGCTGAAAAGTGTAGCATATCACAAAATAACTGTTTACAAGACATTTATCTTATTTCTTTTATCTAATTTCATAATTTATTTAGTATAAATGTAATACTTGTTTGATCAGATATTTAAATAAATTAATCATTATATATGCAGTTTTACAAATATTATACAGATCGATATGACCTATTATTGCCCATTTCTGCAACAGAATAAAAAAATGTAATGACACCTTTTTTATATAAACAATATATGGTTTGATTGTTTTAATATTAAATGCCTAATTCATAAATTAAATTGGTAAATTAATGAATTAAAATGAATGATAGACCACCAGGAATTTGTCCCGGTGCTTTCGAAGACTGATCTGGGTCTGGTGACCTGCCTAATTTTGTTGATGTCTGTCTGAAATCTATTCTTCTGCAAAATTAGGCACCACTAAAAAGACATGCAAACTCAGAGCTCCAAGAGAAAAAGTCAGAATTGCAAGATGTTAAGAAAAAAAAAAAACATTTTCCTGTCCTCTTGTTAAATGTCTGTGTGTATTGTGGTTACAGGAAACCTGTCCCTACAACGCTAAAAGCTGGGAATCTACGAACTCACATCAGCAGGTGTCAAGTGTGCATGAAGAGGGTCTAGACCAGCCTCAGCACTCCGTCTGCTCTTTATACTCCAGTTTTACGAACAAACAACAAACGTAAGGTGCTACTTCTGTGAAAAGCCATGGAAAAACTTTGAAAACCCACAGAAAAATACCCGTCTCATCGGAACCTCAAGATCTACTGGCACATTTGCCTCATACAGAGCGTTTAACTAACATTGTTCCATTGTGTCTAATGAAGGACACCTGTTTACACTTGCACTGAGTTTATATGTATTAGTAAGCAGGTAACCATATTCATCAAGAGCTCACATGGATCGGATGCTATTCCGTCCAGCCCTTCTTGTGTTCTTTTTTTAGCTTTATTTATCATGCCACTCAACAATATCAGATGCAGATATCTTGTTTATTTCTCTCTCAAATGTATAATCAAGCAACACTAACATTATAGAATTGGATAATTATGTTTTTCTACTTCACTGTCAGTAAGTTTGTCAGCACCCTCTTTGTATGATGTAGGAAAAGCAAAGATCAAGCTTTGTTGTAAATATAGTGCTCTATTTAGTTAACACTCTGTCACATAATCTCTTCAGGTAAATGCCATTGATTCTGTTATACTTAATTATTTATGAAAACGTATGAGATGAGAGTTTAAGCACCAAGGGGCCTTTCCTTTCCACATTGATTTCTCTCAGTTAACCACTGCAGAAAACCATCATGGCACATAAACTGTAATATTCTGCACTTTTTTTTGTGAATCAGAATGTGGCCTTTAGACTGAAAACTTCCATTTATGAATCTGTGTTTTGAAGTTTATGCTTGTCCATATGTGCTTGCAGCTGTGCCTGGTCCAGCTTCCTTTTGGTGCAGAAATGTTTTGAACATTTGATGAAATTTGATGAAATGATGAATTTATGATGAAATTTAACTTCATTTCCATTCACACATAGACATACAGTGTCTTCTGTATCTGTTTATAGCTCTAATCAAAATAATCAGACATCAGACTAGAAGTGCACGAGTAAGTCACCTAAGTCACCTTTTGTTGACTCCTCTTTTATCACTCTGTTGACTTGAACTCATCAGCAAGCTCACCTGACTTGATTTCAACCACATCTATGACAAACTTCAAGAGGTTTTCCAAAATGTACGGTCTGTGTCTGAAGTCTGCACCTTTAATTTGAACATTGCCTATGGATTCTCTTATATGTCTTGAGTTTCTTTTGTCTTAATGCCTCAGATACCAGACCAAATAACCTGCACATGCCCCCCTTACACAGTAAATTTCTTGCTCATGAATTTTTCTTTTTTTATTATTATGTTTTTTTTCTTTTTATTTTACACTGATAATACTTGACTATGCAATCTACACTACTCGCTACAAAACCTTCCCCACAGTTGACCTTTTAGCAGAGTTCATCAAATTGTTCCACTATTTTAGGTAAATAAGCTAGTTGTGTTTAAATTTGAAAGTGCCTTACATGACTTTAGTCATGGATGTGAGCCCACATATCCGTACTATAATGTCACTGATCTCACATACTCGCTGTAGCTCTGTGCATTGATGTGCCCATGAAGTATTAACGGCTCTTGTTTTGGAATATGTTGAATAATAGAGGCTGATTGCAATTTGTGAAAATATATATTGTTTTCAATGTCAAATGATTTCAGTGATGCCCCACCCTATACTGTCATACAATAAAATGTTTGTATAAATGTGTGATGGATTTGTCTTTTTTTATACAAAAAGAGTATATATATATATATATATATATATATATATATATATAAAGATAATTATGTCTTTATTTTCTCAGAATTTCGAGTTTATATCTCACAGTTCTGACGCACATCAGTCCCGCAATTCTGACTCAAAAAAGTCTGAATTGTGAGATATAAACTCGAAATTAATGTTAAATTTTTTTTTATTCCATGGATGAAATAAGATTCTATAAATATAAACATTGTTCCGCCCACACCCGCTCGTAGCAATCAAAACGCTAAATAAAATTGCATTTATTTTTTATTTTGTGACAGAAATAAGCTTTCATAGATACAGTATGTGCGTGAAAAGCGGGAGAAAGAAATGACTCGTGGGGTAAAATATAAATGTCAAGTTAATCAATTTTGTTAGTTTTTATGAAATAGGCACAACAAAAAATAAACAATTTACAGGTGAAGGCTTGGATATTCTCAATGTTTTTCTTTTTTATGCGACAATTCCATTGCCTGCTGCGACAATTGCAACAAGTTGTTCACATATAGCACACACAAGTCTGGCACTTGAGATCTGTGAGCGCTGTGTGTGTGTGGGAATTGGAAAAAATAGGCTATGACACTGGAACGAGACTGAAAAATCTGCGGGCTTTTGCTGACACGAGCGGGACAAAACGTGAAGTGAAAATATAACATATTTCTGTGGGAGCAAGATTGAACAATCCATCCCACCCAGACCTCTACAGTTCACAAGCACTAAATTTCGTCACTCAAAATGAATCTACTTGATTTCAGATTATGGAAGATCTGTTTATATGAACCCTAAATGCTTCAATCCGATTCACATATTTGTTTACATGTGCATTATTCCATACAAAAATTCAGCACATATGTGAGGCCCAGTTGCTGCGTATGAGAAAGCCACTGCCTTAATGTCATTTCAGTACGATTGATGGAGTTGTTTACATGAAGGCTTTTCGGTCTGATTGAGCCATCAGTCATCAGTCAGTTTTTAAATGGATTACTTGAGTACATTGAAACCTAGTGAGGCACTTACAATGGCAAACTGTGTTAAAATACTGAAAACAGTTAA